TTAACAAAGGCAAAGGGGAGTGCCAAAATTTCCACTGCTAAGTGACATGGTTGTAAAGTGTGATGTCACATGACCGCATCACTTAGTGGCAACAATCCTGGCCATTCTCTTTGCTAACTGAATCCCACTGGTTCTTAGGCGAGGACCCACCCCAATCCAAGCCATTCCCAGCCCCGAGCCTCGCTAAGGTGAGGGCTGTGGAGTCCTTGGTGCTGCGTTTGGTTGTTTGCTTGCAGACATTTCATTACCCAACTGGGCAATACCATCAATGCTAATGAATGTGGGGTTTGCTCCATTTACAGTTGCTTACCCTGCCAGTTTTGGTGGGGGGTGCAGTTTTCTCCTTGGTAGATCCTTGATTAGGGTACTGTTTTCTGCTAGATTGCTTGTCTGGTGTGAATCTCTGCTTATCTGGGTGTAGGTTGCTAGAGAGAATGCGTTCTGGCCTTTTTGTTTCCTTCTTAGCATTTTTATTGTCTCTTTTGAAGGTAAGGGAGTGCCTCCTCTTGAACTTCCCCCACCTGCCTATCTCCCTCCATTCCTGCCCTCCACCTACCCGGTGCCACCAGCTGCCCCTGCCACCTAGCTGGGTCCGCTGCTGTTACACCCGCCAGACCGTGCACCACTGCTGTACCGACTGGGGCCTTCTTTCATGACAGTGTAGCTGTGGCTTCTCTCATGGGCCAGGGGCTCCGTGTGAAAGAAGGCCCCAGCTGTGCCAGTGCAAAGAAGGTAGCATGAAAGGAGGTCCCAGCTCATACGACAGTGGTGCATGGTGTGGTGGGTGGGGGCAGCTGGAGGCAGCGGGCAGCCAAAAGATGGTCATAATGCAGGTAGGCCTGAATTTTGTTCACATGACTGTGAGGACACTGCAACAGCCAGTTGTTAAGTCCCTTTGTTTAGCACCATCATAACTTCAAATGGTTGCTGAACAAATGGATTTTAACTGAGGACTACCTGTATTCATCTAAAAACTAATTTCCAGCTTTGCTAATATAAAAACATACATTTTGGGCATGCAAATTTGAATTATTAATCACAGATTAGATAATTTATAGAATCAATACTGCTAGACTACAGAGTCCATCACAGTTTGAGTAATCACAAATAGCTAGATCACAGCCATGGTTTACAAATCAGAACGTTATGCCACTCACAAACTTGCTAAAGGATATATGAAGCCAACCAGACTAACAGCCATGTAATTCTTAAAGCTTCCTTTTTCAATGGGTGGGACTGTAAGATAAGTTTTCAGCTCCTGAGAAAGAGGCAGAAATGAGATGGGGGGCAGAATTGGCACAACAGTCCTCTACCTCATTCTATTTCTTCCTGTGACACCACGAGCAGCACATCTTGCAATGGGACATTTCTGTCAAACCACGAAGTCTGAGTAGCCAGTGTGAATGGAAGGTAACTGTTTGGGACCCCAGACTGGCACAGAGTCAGGCAAATGGTTTATACCTGGCAGAAATTCTTCATCTTCTCCAATACTTGGTTCACTTCTGGAACGACATCTTTGCCTTCAACAAAGATTGGAGCATTTGAGCGATTCCGGAGAGCAATGTGGAGCACAGCTCGGTTCTGTATCAGGAAGTAAGAGGAGAGTGAAAGGAAGTTCAGGGCCAGCCCAGGCTACCCAAGAGAGACCCAAAGCAGAACTGTCGATCTTCTGAACGTTCACACAGAACAGGTGTTGATCCAACAACAACGCAAGCCAAGAACAATCCCTCTTCCTCACACCTTCCAAAGATGCCATCCCCACAATCCCCTTGGCATGACTCCAGGCCCCCTTGGCCTGGTTCCTCCTCCTCTTGACACCTGGTCCGTGACCTCCTCAGGGAGGGCTGCTTGCCTGTCTGCCTTTTCCCTAGAGGCAGGCACTGAGGTTTTGTTTATTTATAATATTTTTATACTACCCCAATCACTTGACTTTGGGTAGTTGACAATAACAGCATAAAATAAACAAACCATTAAGGAGTGTAAGTATAACGTAGCTAAAAACTGTCTGCTCAGATCAAGCTTGTGCAGAAAGGAGTGTTGTAGCTTTCTGGGATACCAAGAGCAGAGGGGGCAACCTTAGGCAGGCTACACAGGACTGGGGCAGCCACAGAGAAGGCCCATGTTTCTTTTGTCTGCTGCAATGACAAGGGCTTGAGCAAGCCCTCCCTTGATGCTCCTATAGAGTAGGAAAATCATGCTGATGTAACCTGGCATTGCACCAGGTATGACAAGCATTGTGCCAGTAAGACCAGAGTCTAGAACTTGTGACAGCCAAAGGGGTAGGAGAGGATGCCAGCTGCTAGCCTTGGCTAGAATTTCTCCAGACAGTTAGATACCTACAGCACAACTGACGTTTCTTAGGCTGGAGAAACAAAAAGGCTGAAAACTAGCTTGGAGAACTATGGCTGCATGAAGGTTGGTAACTTCTCTGTTTAAAGTCTTAACAGGCCTTTCCAAACCAAAACATGACCAAGCTTAACTCTAACAGCTTAGAAAACATGACCTAGTTCCTGCTAATATACTTCCCTCATCTTATTGCACAGGCCTGCAATCAGTTCAGACCTGCAGCTCAAGTCCTCAGCAGTCAGCCTGCAATCTTTATTTTTACCAGCAAGCCATCAACTATGAGTCTGATGCCCCTGAGAGGTGTCAGGCTAGTGTACCCCATCATCTGCGCATTCTGGTCCACATACATCTGGAGGCTCCCAGTTGGAAGAAGTCTGGGTTACTGGAGATTCTTCAGAAACCATTTAAAAGTTGGTTTTTTCTTTCATGCAGGCATTACACAACCACATAATGAACATAACCCAAGAGTTATGGAAGGGGAACTTCAGTGGGTTCCTCTGCTGTAACTGAGGAACTTGCTTCACTTGTGTAATATCTTTAAGATACATTTTAAGCTATCCCGTCCCCTCCCAAAGAACACTGGGTCATTTTGCTTTGCAGAACCTAAGTGTTTTGTAACAAGTGCTCAACACATTTCTTGTATACCTTCTCAGGACTTCTGACTATCAAGGCATTGCAACATTGCTCTATCCGGATGGAGCTCCAGCCCAGATCACATTGCCAAAACCTGCTTTTCTTTTATTTATGTACTGAAGAAAGAATCAAAATAATTGTATCAAGCCTTCACAATGTGTAATGCCCCTATTTACTCTTAACCTCAACCCCCCAAAACTGGGTCATAAATATTGTCTGTCTCCTCTGGTGATCTCACCATTTCATTGTCTGTGGTCCCTACATTTGAGAAAAAGTGACCCCTGACTTCAAGAAGGTTGTCCTCTTCTGTATTAGGCCCAAAATGCTGGGGAAAGGCAGGCTAAAGAGCAGATGTGCAGTCTCAGAGCTCAGTTTATTATCCAAATGGAAACCAAAGTGGCCCTCCCTGGATCAGGAAGGGAGCAGCTCTTAACACAGGAGCAGCTCTTTCTTGACCCCTGATGCCTTGTCCTACTAGCACTCCTTCCAGAAGGAGTGTAAGAAAAAAGAGGAAATATTATACCACCTGAATGTCACGAGGAGGCATGTCTCCAGAGACCCCAACCCAGCTTTTAGAGGCTCACAGGATGTTCAAAACAAAGCAGGAGGGTGTGGCTTCTCAATCCTTTCCAACTCTCCTACCTCCAGTAGGCACAGAAGGACATTGCTCTTTCTCCTGTGCAGCCAAGTACCACGTTGTACTTGGGCCTGTTGTGTGTACACATGTGCTACTTCTGTTCTGGACCAGAAGGGAGGGGGGCTTGGAACAGAGCAGTTGTCAGCAGTCCAAAACCTCTCTTGGGGCAGGACTTTTTCTCTGCAGTCGCTGGATGCATCTGGCCCATTTCTGAATGCTTTCTTTCTTTTGCCAGTTCTCCCCCTCCCCATATTTGGCCTATTCTATTCAGTTTGGGGACAGTGACCTTCCATGTTTTCACATTTGTATTTATATCTTGGGCCTTGGATAAAAATATCCAGAGATGGTAGCCACCAATTCCCTCACCCCAAGGAGATCATGTTTCACAGATATCCACCTGCCTCTGGGCCAGACTGGCCTCTCAAATTATTGTTCTGTACCACTTAAGAATCCAATGGTTTTTCTAATCCAGTTGCTTACAGCTGTTAATCCTAAAAAACAATTCACACTCCCTGATCTGCAGGACTGAGCAAAGCAGCCAAATTCTCACACCCTTCTAGCCTGAAGCCAATCAAAGGTTACTATTTCACGAGCATGAAGAACCTTCAGATCAGGGATAAAAATAGCTCATACCTCAGTGAAGTTGATTTTTTCTCCAGTGAACATTTGTTTTCTAGCTTTTTCAATGCCTCTTGATTTGGCCTGAAAGTCAAAACACCTATTTAATGTAGGAAATAATTGGCTTTCCAAATCCTCCAGCAAGAACCAGATAAATAGCTGATCCATTTTCCATTCACACCCTACTGCCTCTAAGGTAGCTGAGTTAATTACTCCTTTTATAGGAGCTCAAGGCAGTCCTACATAGCCCTCCTCCTTCCCATTTACCCCCATAACAACATCCCTCTCAGGTGGGTTGGGCTGAAAGAGAAAAACTGGCCCAGTGTCACCTCATGAGCTTCCATGGTAGTGTGTGGACTTGAACCTGGGTATCCCAAGTGCCAGTCCAACACATCACAACTGCTGTTTCTCAAGGTGTTGCTAGGTTAATGCCTGAGTCCTTGCCTGCTACTTCATTTTCTCTAAATTAGGACCGGGCATATCACAGAATCCAGTCAGAAGGAAGGCACTGAATTCACCCCTTGCACACGGCAGAAATCCAAACTTCCCTGACAGATGGGAAATCAGCCACTGCTTGTACATATCCAGGGAAGGGAAATCTAAAACATCTCTTGGGAAAGTCTCAAAACCCCCAAACGCATCCCATGTTCAGGGCAATCTTAGTGGAGGCAAGTTGGTGTATCTAGGCTTTATGAAGAGGAGCAGCTAAAGCCCAACATGATAGAAACTAGAAATATTTATACGTAATGTGATCAAAACATCACATTCTACCAATTCATTAATTTTTGTGCTTGGAAGAGTTCAGTTTTAGATTATTTAAGCTGAGTTGGCTTTTGTGGATTTTTTCTGCTTATGGTTCATTGTAAAAAGTACATGCAATGCAGGTAATACATTATGATGTGTGTGTGTGTATATATACAGTACTGTGCAAAAGTTTTAGGCAGGTGTGAAAAAATGCTATAAAGTAAGAATGCTTTCAAAAACATATATTGTAATTGTTTATGTTTATCAATTTACAAAATGCAAAGTGAGTGAACAGAAATCTAAATCAAATCAATATTGAAGCCCTTTGGCTTCAAACCAGCATCAATTCTTACACTTGCAGCACTTTGTACACTTGCACAAAGTCAGGGATCTTGTG